CTTTTACTTTTCTTTTCTTTATCTTTATCATTATTTTTCTCGTGAATAAACACATTATTTAAAAATACAATTTACTGACAATCTGTTGAATTGTAATTCGTTGTGATAATATAAATACTTTGATAGATCGTCTGAGTTAAAGCTTGTGAACTGTTAAAAGATTACTGCTCAATTAAAAAGAATAAACCGCTCGAACACCCTGTCTAACAGTCGTAATTTACAAGAATTACACGTTAATAGCACCGATCCACACAAGTAGGCAAACATAAACTTTTATCGAAGACAATGCTATAACTCTTTTATTATGACTGAGACAAAGCCTGACCTTAATCCCATTAAACACATTTGGGATGAACTTGAACATAATGTTCAATCAAGAAAAAAAATTCTTAAAACATGGTCGAATTAGAAGCATTTTTACAGGAATTATGGTCGTAATCTCTAGTAATGTTTATCAAAAACTGGTTAGTAATATAGAAGATCAGGTAAAAGCTATTCTAAAGTTACGTGGCTTTCTAACCAAATATTAAAGAATAGTTTAAATAAAATTTTATATAGGTAAACTTAAAAAAATTAAATATTTTTTTAATTTTTTTATAAGTTTTTTCATGTTTTTAATAAAAAATTTCTCCTATATTTTAGTTTATGAATTAGATTATGTTTTGAAAATTTTTTTTTTCGAAATGCTATATACAACTTATATTTTAAATAAATATAATTTTAAATTTTACGTTCATATAATTTTTTTAAAAAAATAATTTTAAATTTTATTTAATTAAATTAAAAATAATACTTAAAAAATACAATATATTAAATTAAATTATTTTCGATTAAAATACATATATAAAATATTAAATAATATTTATTATTTGATAAAAAAATTATATTATTTATTTACAATTTTTATTAGATTCAAATAGAAAAAAAATCGATTTTTTTTAAAAATTTTTAAGTGGTCTAATACTTTTGGGTAGGGAGTGTATATAATTATATATTTACTAAAAAATTAGATAATTCGTACTTACCTGATATAATAATAAAGAGAAAAAAAGAAAGAATAAAATTAGTCAATATCAAATAATACACAAATGACAAATAGATAAAATAGAAAATAATTTTTTTATACAATTTATTCATTACTATTTCTGTTAATTTAACTAACTTATCTCATAACTTTGTAATTTGAGTCACTTCTTTTCCTTTCTTTTTAATACTTTTTTTCTTTTTCTGATACTTCTATTTTAATTCCAAATCTTTCTTATTATACTTCAAATATTCTTTACTTTCTCATCTTTTTCAAGTCTTATTTGACTATTTAACTTTCTCAACCTTTTCAACTTATATAATTTCTTCAAATTCTCTTTCTTTGCCTTTTTATATACTTTTTTACATCCTTTAATAAATGATTATTTTAATTGCCATTTTGTAAATTAAAAAAAATTGAAATTTTTTTTGGTCTGATCAATTTAGATATAAAAGTAAAATAAAATAAAAAGTGACTGATGTGGCTAGTAAAATTATTATCATGAAATCGAAATTATTATTTTTCAAAATTTAAAAGAATTTTCTCGAGAATATATTATTAATGTCTTTAAAATATTACCATCTACAAATATAATAGAGGAAAAATTTTTTATCTTATTTGGAAATAATCCAATTATAATTACTTTGTAATTTATTAACAACAAACTATTGATATTAAGCAATTCAACCAACTAATCACATGTCAAATATTCAATCAAAAGTATTATCAACTAACCTCAAGTGAATAATCATAAACATAAAGAAGAAACAAAAACTGAATGATGAAGAAATTATCAATGATATATTTACTGATGAGAGCTTAAGTTATGCTACTGAACAATAGTCAAATTCCGATACCAATAATGCCTTGATATACTAGCTGTAAATTAGGAATTATATAAAACTAATAAAACAAAAATTTAGTGCAAGTGCAGCCATTAAATTGGAAACAAGTAAAGGTTTAATTGTTTAGCCTTAGAACAAAATATACTAATAAAAGATAAAAGTAACTAGCAAGGTGACTTTTAAATTAAAAAAGATGGATTGCTTATTTAGCAGCAGAGAAGATAATATAATACAATTTAATAAAACAATATATTTAAATCAACTTGCTGAAGAAACTTTAATTGCATTATTAATTTATCAATTTCTTAATTGTAAACAAAAAAAGAATAATTTAAATAAATATTGTTCAATATTATATATTGTAATACTTGAAGCAAAAGAAATTCTAATAATATTGAAGAAATATTTGCTTCTTGTAAATAATAATATACAAGTTATTCGATTAAGCACGTCGGAACTTATAACGATGTTCACGCCACCGTGACTTATCACGGCCAATATAAATTTCCCAGATGATTAACTCGCAATCGTTCTTACTCATCTCATTCTTACCCATAAAAAAAAAAAATGAATATCATTTATTTTTGCTGCATTATCCCCGTTCTTCCTTTTATCATTCCTTTTATCATTTTTACATCCTGGCTGTTGCTTCCGATCGTTTTTTATTTAGTTATATTACAGTTTCTTAAGATAATGACCAACATACTGTAAGTTAAAGCATATTATACGATCTGATTGATACATCATCTTTATCTATTCACAGCTCTCACTTTAGTAATTAATACCTCAGCCTCGAACAATACTCAGGAGAGATTTCCTTAAACAATACTTTGGAAGGCACATTCTCAACATCCGAAATTCCTCCGATTCCTCCTTGTTTTATAGGGTTAGAAGAACAGTGGATTGATCTCAATAAAAACGGAAGAGGTTTGTTCATTATTAATTATTCTTGAATATAGCTAGTTCAGTATTAAAGGTTACTTACTATATACTAAGATTTCGAAAAGAAATCTGGTTCAAGACACATATTCATTGTTCAAAAAGTAAGTATTTAATTTATTATTGCTTTGCTACGATAATACTATTAAAAATTTATTTTTTTGCAGAGGAAAAGATTACTCCCTTAGAACATCTTGCCAACTTTTTTAGAAGAGCATTACAATCGAACGCCGAAGATCAGGAAGAGGATCCGGACGACGAAGATTTTAACTACCAAGAGTCTGAATCATGTATTCTCACCGACGACAAACATCATCGGAGGAATCCGTCGACGAATAATTTTAAGCAGAACGCTCTTCGAGTTATGAATAATTTGAGCAAAAGACAAAAAGCTTATGTAATCCGTGCTTTAATTGATATTTCTTGTGCAACACCTTCTCAGTTAACTTCACATATGTTCCTCCAAGTTAAAGTCAGTGTAGGTCTAAAGTCATTTATTTGAATGCAAATCAGACACGTATGTAGATGTAAGATTTATATTTAGACGCGAAGTCCGAATTGTATTTACTCATTGATTGCTACTAATAATGAATGTATCAAACATAAATTACGTATAAGGATTAAATAAAATTCATGCATTAATTTGTTCTATAAAAATCCTATTACAATGAAAATTCAGAATAACACATTTTTATATAGAAAAGGCTTATTCAATCTGTTTCCGTGATAATTAATTAAATTCTCCGTAATTTTTTTCATTTTTCATATTTGTGCGACTTTTTCAAAATTGGTACCGTAATTTACAATCGTAACATCTGTTTAGTAATGAGTCTTTGTCACAAATAATAAGAGAAAAATTCAAAAAAAAGTCAATTTCAAAATTGTTTGTGCCATGTTGGGTTGTAGTCGCACAATCGTAACTAAATATGACTAAAATTGTACAATTAATTGTTTTTATAGTTATGGGTAATAAATAGGATTTGATTCATAAAAAAAATTCATTTCAATATCTCAAACCCTAAAAATTATATTATTTATATATAATACTAACTGTTAGTGTCAAAAGCTATAGTTAAATTCAGTTTGTGTTACATTGCAAATTTTCAATCTGCGATAATGGTTTATACCAACTATTTTAAGTTAATTGGGCAAATCCAACTTGACGATTGCCTTGATCAAAAATGGTGTATACGTTCTTTAAGAATGCACTGCCAATATACCATTCTGTATCCGATCCTGAAGGATTTTGAAAAAAAGAATACCTTTTAAACATTTTGAATAAAAACACATTAAACAAATAGTATAATTACCAGTATTATCGTAAACAACAGCTCCAATGCAATCATCTTCATCTATTTCAACTGTAAAATCTCTAGGATCTATATTCCAAGTCTTACCGCCGAATACCAGACTAATTTCATGTTGTTCTTCACAAGGTAGTGCGTAGGTCCCATCTCCATTGTCTATAGCAGTGACAATTTCATCATAAAATGTACTAGCATCATCTGGTGGCAAAATTATTCGTGTGGCCCCATTATCAATAATTCCAGTACGTCCTTCGAGATTTAATTCTTCGCCATCGACAACGCAGTTATCAATAGGGATCTTCCATAAACCGCCACTATCCTCTACTAGATGTGTAAAGGTAAGTGTATCAGCATGGTATCTATCTGGATTACTCCCACCGATTGTTAATTCGCTTGGTGATTGATCTGCATCTCTCCCAAGCATAAAAGAGAATTGTGGATTATCGAGTTGTTTATTATTTATAAGGTTCGTGATTGGTGTGGTTTGTTCGTTTGAACTTGCTTCGCTAAATGCCATCCCTATTATACCCACATATTGGTGTTCAAAATCATCAGAAATTTCATTAATCACTCCAAACTCTTGTGCTTGTACCGAAATACCCGCTATTACAATAGTGGTCTTGGCTGAATCCCCTTTTGCTTCTGTGCCATCAGCGTATTCGATTGCGAAAGCTTTTCCATCGATTGGACTGAAAGATGTATCAAGATCTGAATCATATTTAGGTTTATCTTCGCATGCAGGTGAATCACATTTTTTACCAAAAACAAATAAATCGCCTGATCCCGTATCAAATTGTATATCAAAAGTCTGTGGGGTGCCCGTGCCAAAGGTAATTTGTCCAAAATAAGCAATATCTGGTTCTTGTTGTTCTACTTGCATGGTTCCAATTGCTCGTCTGGAAAGCCTGCGACGAGTGATTGATTTCGACTTTAGCGGAATTGTATGCACATTAGGTTTGTCATGGGGTAATGCATCAACAGATAGAAAAATTGCTATTGCGAATGTAAATATATGCAAAGCGAGCATGATGAATTAAGAGTAGTATTGAGAAAGATATCTTATGTGAGTGATTTTATTCACAAAGAAATTGCATTCTGGCTTCATTTTTATATATTTTGAGAATGCTGATCGAATAAAGTTCCGATATTTTACTCAAATTAGGGATGATCTTAAATGAATTTCACCTTTATAATATGAAAATTTTGTCGATCTTAAATAATGGATTGTATTATATCGGCGGATTTGTGTAATATAAATTTATTATAGAACCCAGTTCTCTAATTAATTTACTGATAATATGCGTCCGTCAGTCACGGCGAGAATCACTATGTCCTACATTATCTCGAAGGCCATTTTCCCCGAATGGACGTTTTCCCGAAAACTTCGAGCAGAGTTATCATAATGTAGGTCAAACTTTTCGGGAAACGTCCATTCGGGAAAATGGCCTTCGTGATAACCGTTCGGCTGACATGTAAATCCACCGTTATGAAAAATTAAGTTCTTATTTAGTGTATTTACCAGTATCGATTATAGAGTATCACTCCTTACGAATATCTATCCTATAAATACTTTTTTTTGTTTGATAATTATTTAGGTATTCAATAACTTTAGGCAAGTGTTTAACCACATGCTCTTATTAATCTAGAATTAGAGGATATTGATTCAACAGCATACTGAATCTTATAAACATACAGTATTTCATCTGCGCGTATCTAAAAATTTTTGAGATCTAACCCCAATTTTGTAGGTCAAATTACAATGACAGTCAATAAATTGACATTATTGTAACACCGTCAATAAGCATTTTAATTGGTCACAAAATTGAGTTTCACGAAATAATTTTTTTTTACTTTTATAACGAAATGTTACGGCTGTTATGCGTATTAATTTTTTTTTTGTTTTTGAATAAATGGCCAACACAGAAAATCCATATCTATCCTTTTGATCCAGTTATTAAATTTAAGCCAATTGCTATTTGTACATGTTTAATGGGTTATATAATTTATATATGGTTAGGGTGTGACAAAGAATATATTTATTACCAAATTTCTTATAATACCGGTGACTTCCAAATGTTATGCATCATTTGGAGAAAAATTAAAAAAAAAGCAATATTTCTTAAATCACATAACATGACGTAAAAATTTTTTCTAAGTATAGGAAGATTGGGTCGCATTCAACTTACCGACAATCATTTTACCGACAATCAAATTACCGACTTATTATTTTTTTTCTATGGGAAATTCATATGACAATTGCCAATTAAGAAAATTCAAATTCACATACACTATTTGATAATCAGATGATAATTACAATATTTATTATAAAATACAATGCAAAATATTACTTAATATAGAAAAGTTTTATTTAATGTATTTGAAATATTACATTCTAATTAACGATAAAATTATTTATGTATTATCACATACACGATCAATAACAATTTTTTTTCTTATCTTTTTTCTTCAAAGTTTTCTAATAAATAATATTATTTGCGAAGCTGTTTTTTCTACTCATAATAAAGTTAAACTTAATATTCATGGCTATCTTATGGTTAAAGATAAAAATAGAGGAAATTTATATTATTGGTATTGTGAAAAACGAAACTTATTAAAATGCTATGGAAAAGCTACTACTAAATTGATTGAAGATCAGCATTATCTTCAAAGAACTTTAGATCATAACTATGCTGCTGATGCCAGTCGTGTTAATGTAATAAAACTATTAATATATTAAAAGAAAGGTCACAACAAATTAATGAACAATCTACACAAGTTATTCAAACTATTGTTGCAAGTAGTTCACATGAAATATATCTATACTTACTATCATATGATGCACTTTGTCAAACAGTTAATTGAGTTCAATATGATAATATTCCTGCAGAGTCAACATCTTTAGAAAATCTTACCATTTCTGAAAATATGCGAGTAACTTTAAATGGATTAGAGTTTTTAGTTAAAGATTCAATCATAGGTGATAGAAGAGTATTAATATTTACAACTGTTACTAATATAATACATTTAGCACAATCACCATTCTGGATTATGGATGGTATTTTTAAGACAGTTCTAACAATTTTTAAACAATTATACACAATTCATGGACGTGTTGATGAAAATGAAAATTCACAGATTATGCTACTGGTATTTGCATTAATGTCTCACAAATATGAAATATATTATAGAACATTATTTTAGAATTTAATTGATTTTAGTAATAAGCATAATGTTAATTTATAACCACAGTTTATTTTAACAGATTTTGAACAAGCTGCAATTAATGCTATCTGTGCAGAATTTCAAGGAATGCAAAATAAAGGTTGTTATTTTCATTTATCTCAAAATATATATTGCAAAATATAGGCTTTTAGTTTCACTATTCAGTATGAAACTGATGAAAACTTTAGTTTATTTATTCATCATATTTTAGCACTTGCATTTTTACCTTACAATGAAATTTCTACAGCTTTTAATGAATTAAAAACTAATATGCTAGTAGAAGCAAGCTAAATTTTAGATTAGTTTGACAATTATTATGTTTATAGAAAAATTAGATGTATATTATAAAATGGAAATGTAATTCAGTCTGAACTATTATTTCCACCTTTACTTTGGTCTATCACTGATAATATTAAATATTTATTTCCAAGAACTCTAAATAATGTAGAGACTTAGTATAGAAGATGGAAAATATTAGTAGGTCATGCTTATATAGATGTATTTAAAATTATAAAAAAACCACAAAATGAGTAAAAACAAGTGCAACTTTATGTAAAATCCATTTTGCGAGAGGCATCATGATTGTTATAAAAAAAATAAGATTATGAACATGAAGATCATATATAAACAATATATAATAATTACGAAAATAAAGAACTTATAGATTACTTTAAAGGGATTACTCACAATCTTTCATTTTAGATTTGTAATTTTATTAAAAGAATGATATTCGTTTATTGTAAAATATAAAATTTTCTTTTACAAACTATTGAATAAAAATTTATAATTTTTCAGTAAAATAACCATGTTGGTAAAATGATCGTTAGTAATTCAAATTTTAGTAAAATGTACCTGTCGATTAAATAATTATCAGTTAAATGATTGTTAGTAAAATAATTGTCAGTTAATTAAACCAGACCTAGAAGATTATATTCATTATGTGGTAATATTTTAATTATATATTATTATATAA